TCTACTTTGAGCTAGAGTAATAATTTTTGTCTTTCACATTTATTATAAACCTTGACACCCCAACTGGTTCTTGACAGTGGATATTCTGGTTCTAGGCCTTTTCTCAGGCTCAAAGTAAGATTCATTTTTATATAGTTTATATAGGCGAATATGATGAGGGGAAAATATAAATAAGTTAGAACAGACTGAAAAACCTAAAACACAGTATCCCAGTGCCAAACTGACATCATGTGTTGACTGGATTCAATGTACCTACATGCGTGTGTGTGTATATATTATATATAATATATAAATGGAGCACGCACTGTCCTTGTTGTGTAACATGCCCCTGGAGAATGGATGAGACGCCACCCCCCCTTGAAAGTTGAGAAGCCGGGTTGGCAGTCACCCTGGAAACAGTTTTTCTAGGAAAATAGAAACTATGAATATGATATGATTCCTTTCGGACAAGTGGTGTTTTTTTTAATAGGCTTTCGTCATGAATTTCTTAACCAAATCTCCTTGAATTTTAAAAATTTCTCCTTGAAAACTCCTTGAATTTGATGGGAAGTTCATGGCAGGAACCCTGTAATTAGTCAATGTCCCTGATTTTGAGCTAGGCTGACACTGATAGCCACAGAGAAGGGTGGGCAGCTATGCCCTTGTCCGAGAAGGCTAGATGTAGATCTTTCCTACCAGAAGATCAGGGGTGTGAGTGAAAGACAGCAGTATGAAGGAGCCAAGGAGTAGCAGTCAGGGTGTCCAGCAAGGTCGTAAAGTCGTAATAAAGTCATAAATTCGGCACACTGGTCGTAAAGGTCCTAAATGGTAGTAAATATGCCGTGAAGGTAGACATTTGGTGAACAGTCGTAAATTAACCTACGTACCAAGTGATGAAGCCGGCAAGACTTCAGTGAATGGAGTCATTGCCGCGGTACTCAGCGATTACCAAGTCCCATCTGTTGTCAAAGTAGTACAACGATCTTTGAGAAGTATCAGTATCACGGAACTGGAATATTTGAAAACCTAATCCGATAAGGTCATTAGTTCATTTTGGTGGTCACTATTGTAATATTCGTTATGCTTTTCCTCCCGAGAGTATGCTTCACGCGAACAGGCTGCTATGGCGGTAGGCGGAAGTGTATGTGTGTTACCGAGGGTCGATCGGGAAAATTAAGATCTGCTTTCGTTACCACCCAGAAATTTGCCGGCGATAGACTGATAATGCAACTTTATTTTGTGACATGTCGCCATGCAAATAAAATTTAATCAGTACTCGGACTCGTCACTGTGCTAGTGCTGTCACTTGTCCGGGGAAAAAAGGAAAAGAAAATACAAGTGTCGTCAGATTTTTAGATTGTCGGGCTCGCCATCGTGACAGATCTGTGAACCTGCACGAGTTCGCATCACAAGACAGGCTACAGCATCATGTGAGCTCCAGTGTTTGTTGGGGTCACCAAAGTTCATTCAAAGTCATCGGTTGAGTAGTATAGGGCTACGGAATGGGGCAGGGGATTATTGATTTTTTTTTAAAGATACACTCAGAGGAGGGGGGGGGGGGTGCTGAAGAAAACACCAGAGCAGAGGTAAAAAACTTGGACGCAAATTTCATAATTTTGATAGATTTGCAAAGCGCGCGTTGGTGCAGGCCGTGTGTGGAATCGGGATCCTTCTTACCTTGTAAGCCGTTTTACTGAACTAAAGTATTCGCGTTTCATTGGGTGGGTGATAGTAAATTTCAACTATAATGTAGCTTTCTGTTCAAGACTGGTAGGAAATTTTGAATTTTGCGCGGGTGGCAGCCGAAGCCTACTCTTATCGATTTTAGACCACCAAGGGATCTTTAACAAGCGCTACTTGCACGTGGTACCTCCAATATTTTTTCCGCCGTTTTCTGAGTGTGGCTGAAAGACAGCAGTAAGAAGGAGCCAAGGAGTAGCAGTAGAAAGGCTACAGAAAGAGTCAGGAGCCCAGAGGAGGGGGCAAAGGAGGGTGGGGGCAGAAAGTGGAGACGAAGCAGACGACAGAACATTGCTAGAGAGAAGGAAAGGAGGTGAAAGGAGACAACCCGGGACCTTTGATTAAGAGGCAAACACCCTAACCTTAAGGCCACTAGAGCCCCCGGAGCAGACTTTGTGCTGTTGAGGCTAGAGAGGTGAGCAGAGTAAGCATGATTCCCCGTTTGGACTTCTCTGTTGACATCCACCCCTTTCATGTTCATGTGACCTTTTGCAGCGCCTTAAAAACCTTACTAAAACTAAACTAAATCTAGCGGCAAGCGAGCGTGCGATCATTTGTCTGTCCTCCATTTTATCGACTGGACTATGTTGTGTGTTATTTTTGTTTCATATATTATAATTATGTTATTGATGGTACAAATTGGTACAAATGAACTCTCTTTTTTGAGCTGGTGTGGGGCCTTGATTTGCTGGGTAGTAGATTTTTTTTCCAGGTAGGCTGAAGAAAGAGTCAGAAGCCCAGAGGAGGGGGCAAAGGAGGTGAGGGGTGGGGGCAGAAAGTGGAGACGAAAGCAGACAGCAGAAAATTGCTAGAGAGCAGAAAAGGAGGTGAAAGGATACAATTTTAGAGAAGAAAATGTTTCCGTCGCTACCCGGATTCGAACCCGGGACCTTTGAATGGGAGGCAAACACCTTAACCTCAAGGCTATGAGAGCCCCCCAGTTATAGACTGATAGAACAAGCTGACATTTGAACTAGCAACCTTCCGCTTGTTTTGTTTTATGTTTTAGTAAGAGTTTTATGGCTTTTGCAACACTAATAGGTCATATAAGTGCTGAAGATTCGAGGTGTTACATGAAAGTAACAATCAAAGAAAAGGGGAAGGTATAAGAGCAACAAATGTTTGACACGAAGTGATGAATTTGTGCTGCCTGCTGTTAAAATGTACTAAGCCTTTTTTAAAAATTGTCACTGTTTTTAATCTGGGACATTTGTTGCATGCACTTAAGAATTGTTGAAATTCAAATTCGAAGTTGAAAAAAAAAAATGCAAGAAAAGATGCAAAATGTATGTGCACTTGTTAAAAGAAGAAAACAGTTTTTTTCCTCGCCAGTAAAATTGTGCTTTCTGGGTTCAGTACAGATTAACCGCTTGTGGACGACATACTATTTATTAAGGTTATTCTTTGGGTCGGTGTGGTCATCATGCTTGTATAATGATCTTTACATTTTTGTGGTTAGCACGCTTAGGTAATGACCTTTGTGTCTGTGTGGACAACACACTTAGATAATGACCTTTGCATTTTTGTGGTTAGCACGCTTAGATAATGGCTTTTGCGTTTGTGTGGACAACACACTTAGATAATGAACTTTGCATTTTTGTGGTTAGCACGCTTAGATAATGACTTTTGCCGCATTTTGCGTCTGTGTGGACAACACGCTTACTGCTTAGATAATGACCTTTGCATTTTTGTCAATATGCTTAGAAAATTACCATTGGGGCTCTCGTAGTCAATAGGTCCCTGGTTAAAATCTGGACTGACGGAAACAAATTTTTGTCTAAAATTTTCTCCTATCACTTCCTTTCCTGCTCTCTGACAATGTTCTGTCGTCTACTTTCGTCTCCACTTTCTGCTCCCCCTCCTCTAGGCTCTTAACTCGATCTGCAACCTTTCTACTGCTTCTCCTTGACTCTTTACTGCTGTATTTCAGCCACACCCCCTGATCTTATGGGAGGTAAGATCGAACACCTAGCCTTCTCGGATAAGGGTGAAAAATCTTGGAGGTCCCGTGTGGAAGTTGTGCATGTTAAAGATCCCTTGATGGTCCAAAATCGATAAGAGTAGGCTTCGGCTGCCACCGTTGCGATATTCAAAATTCCTACAAACTGAAAATGTTTAATGTGTCTCGCATGCTCATATGACCTTATGCAGTTGTGAGCGCAGTAAAGCACTTTACCCCCCCCCCCCCCCCCCCCCCACCAAATGAAGACAATGACCTTTGTATTTTTTAGGACAACATGCTTAGATAATGACTTTTACATTTCTGTGGTCAATACACTTGAATCTGTATGGATTACATACTTAGATAATGGCCTTTGCCTCTGTGTGAATAACACACTAAGATAATGACTTTTGCGTCTGTGGACGAAACACTTAAATAATGACGTTTGCATCTATGTGGACTACATACTTAGATAATGAAACTGAAATAATGACCTTTGCATTTTTTTTGCTTGCAGCAAGCAGAACTTCAGCAGCAACATTTAAACCAGGACATTGTGGGAGCGACCCAAACTGGGGTAAATGAGAAGATTATGGCAGAGATACAAGTTCTTCAGAGGAAGACGGCGGTGAGTGTGTGTGTATGTGTGTCACTGTTTTTGTGTGTGTCAGTGTAAGGGGGAGGGGCATGCCGAGACAGATATAAGATCTTCAGAAGACAGCATTGATATATATGTATATTTGTTTACTATTTATGCATTTGTATATGTACATTTGATAAGATAAGATAAGATAGTACTTTATTATCCCAGAGGGAAATTCTCCTTGGCTGTACAGGACTGTAAAAACACATGCAGATATACATTTTAAAAAATGTTAATCATATATATTACTCTCATTAAAATTCAATATGAAAGGAGAAGTAAAGCTGACAAAATGTACATTTACATCAAATGCATCAACCACAAGCAGGAATTTAAATACTAGCTAGACCTTTGGAGTTATATACAGATACATACACTAAGAGCAACACCCATCTATGCGCAGTCTGACAAAAGCCTTATGCTAGATGGTAAAAAACTTCTTTTATATCTTTCTTTTTTGTTTTTGGAGGTACATATCTGCCGCTGCGTGATCTTACAATTTGTGTGGAAAAGGGGTGTGATGGGTCGTTTATAATGCTTTTTATCTTTTTTATACGTGTGGTGTTATACATTTCATCCATTCTTATAAAATCATATCCAGAGATCTTGCTGGCTTTCTTAATGGTTCTGTCAAATTTTTCTTTATCTTTCACCTTACAATTCCCACCCCAGCAGCAAATACAAAATAATAGCACACTTTCAATCACAGAATGGTAAAAAAGGGACATAATCTTATTGTCAACACGGAAACTTCTTAATTTCCTTAAAAGAAACATTCCTTGATTTACTTTTTTATGCACAAGAGCAGCGTGGGGATGCCAGTCAAGTTTGTGGTCGATTGTTACACCAAGATACTTGTAAGAGCTTACCACCTCCACCTCTTTATCTTTAATAAATAGTGATTGCAATTGGTCTTTTTTTACTCTAAAGTATATTATTAATTCCTTTGTCTTTTTTACGTTTAGTATAAGGAAGTGGTTATCACACCAATTTGTAAATACATTTACAGCATCCCTGTATTCATTCTCATTTGTTGTCATAAGGCCTTGTAGAGTGGAATCATCCGCAAAAGTTATTAGTTTGATGTTTTTGTTATCAAAAGTACAATCGTTGGTGTAGAGCGTAAACAAGACAGGGGAGATTACACACACAGCCTTGGGGCGCACCGGTGTTCGTGAATGTTAGGTCGGATTTTACACCATTTAATTTTACATATTGACGTCGATTGGTTAAGAACTCAAGAATCCAAGCTATAATGTTCTTGTTTATGTTCATGTTAATTAATTTTGAAACCATTATGTGCGGTTGGATTGTGTTGAATGCGGTTGAAAAATCAGCAAAAAGTATCCTGCAGTAATTTCTTGGTGTGTCCATGTGTTTGTAGATGTTATCTAAGAACACGAGAATGGCATCCTCCACGCCCCTCTTGGCACGATAGGCAAATTGCATGTTATCCTGTATGTCTTCTGTTGATTTTCTCAGTTCTTTCAAAACCAGTTTTTCTAAACATTTCATGAGGACTGATGTTAAAGCAACAGATCTTAGGTCATTCAAATTTTGTATTGATTGTTTCTTTGGGACAGGAATTACTTCAGAGCATTTCTATGAGAGTGGTATTATTCGTTCTTTCAAAGACATATTGAAAATATCAGTATAAATGGGAGATAACTGAGTAGAACACATTTTAATAATTTTACTTTTTACTCCATCGGGTCCACTCGCTTTGTGAGCTTTCAGACGGTTAAACATGATCTTGATCTCATTAACATTAACCACAAAAATCTCCTTGCTCTTGTCATTGATTGTCTTCGTCTGTGTTGTGGTTGTTGTTGCTCTCCTCTGTGCTGTCATTTTGAATCGTCTCTTTGACAGTTGTCAGCTGGTCGGAGAAATCGTGGTTGTCAAAACGAGCGTAAAAAGACTTCAGTTTGTTTACATACTGACTTGGGTTCGTGTCTGGTGTGGGAATGTTTGTCCGTCTTTGTGCATCTCCAACTATAGTTTTTAAACATTGCCACGTCATTTTTGTGTTGTTAGTAGTGAAATGTTGTTCTAACTTTTCTTTGTAAACATGCTTACCCTCTCTTATCTTTTTCTTTAACATATTATTTTTTGTTTTTAATTTGTCTTGGTCTTTCAGTTTGAATGCCTTCTTCTTCTCATTTAATATTTTCTTTAACTCCTTGCTAACCCATGGCTTGTTATTTGGGTTGTAGATAATTTCTTTTTTAGATGAATGTAGGTCTTCACAAAACCTGATGTAACCAGCGATAGTCTCACATGATTCATCTATACTATTACATGAATCTTTATAAACATTCCAATTCGTACATTCAAAGCAACCTCTCAGGCTCTCCCTTTTTTCTTCACTCCAGATGGTGACAATTTTTAAAATTGGCTTTAAAGATTTTAATTTAAGTATGTACTTCGGTAATAAAAGAGACATGCAATGATCAGAGTTTCCTATAGGAGGTAGAGAGATGCATTTGTAGGCATTAGAAACATTTACATAACAATGGTCAATAGTTTTGTCCTCACGGGTTGGTACATTAACATATTGGTGGAAAGTGGGGAGGGCAGAAGTTAAAGAGCATTTGTTAAAATCCCCAGTGATTACCATTACACTGTCAGGACAAGAAGACTGTTGTTCGTGAATCATTTCGACCAAAGTGTCTGTGGCAACTTTAACATTGGCTTGTGGTGGAATATAAACAATGTTAGTTGTTATCTTAGGAAATTCCCTCGGTAGATAGTACGAGCGAGTAACAACAGTTAGACATTCAATATCAGGTGTACACAGTTGGAGTTTAACATGAATATTATTACGACTACACCACTTCTCGTTCACATGCACACACACTCCTCCGCCCCATTCTTTGTTAGAGTCAATCATCCTGTCACAACGCACCAGATGGAATCCGTCAATGTTCACACTGTTAGTAGAAACACTGTCCTTGAACCACGTCCCGCTAAAACAAATAAGCGAGGCCTCTCTGTACTCGTACAGAAACCTAACATTTGCACAGAGTTCATCCATTTTATTATTTAGTGGCTTTGCATTACCAGTTACGGTAGAAGGTAAAAACGGTTTAAAAATTCTTCTTCTCACTCTCAAACGTACTCCTCCCTTCCTTCCCCGTTTACGTGGTCTCATTTCACGGGGTAGAACGACTTTGAAAACACTGTTTCTGTTTGCCGGTCTAAGGCGTTTTAACATGGCTGAACTGTAGGTCTGTCTCAATGGTGGAGCTTCACTCAAAACACTGCACTGGTGAATTTGCATTTGTGTGTGTGTGTGTGTGCGCGTGTGTATGTGACGGAAGAAGAGAGAGGGGAGAAGACAGCTGTGAGTATACAACAACAATGAATGTGACTCGTTTCCCTCCTCAGGCCACAGAAAATGATTTGAAGAACTTGAAGGAGAAGCAAGAATCTTTCATCATCAAGTTCAGTGACACTCAGAGAATTTCAGGTACATTTGTAAAGCTGAATAACAAAGAAAGTGTTAGATTGGATCCTCAGGGTAATAGATCAAGGGCAAGGCTAAGTGGAATGTGGAGAAGAGTCACCGAGATTGATGTACAGAATGTGAGAAGACTTGGAATGATATCAAGAGGCTTACCCAGGATAGGGAAAGGTGGAAAGTGTTTGTTCCTGGCCTTTACCCTGATGTAGGGTGAGAAAGGTTGTGATGATTATGATGAAAAGCAATGGCTGCATTTGTGGTGTAGCTGTTACCTTCGCCACACAAAGACATGAGTTCGATTCATTGTTAGGGGGGAATTTTTATCTTGCAGCTCGGTCTTTCCGCAGGGATGTTGTACTCTTCTCAGCTCGTGTTAGCCGTGACAGGCAGGGTGGGAGCTTACCACCTAGATAATCTAAATTGTTGTTGATGGGCTGTTTTTTGTTGTTTTGTTTGTTTTAAATTCCTCTGTCCAAAACAATTTCAGGTAATATCTAAAGCAATCTTTGTTTTCATGGCAAATGGCCAAGTTACCTGACTGCATACGGAAATTATTACCGTTGAAGAAACAGACACTCACACTCGCTCTCTCCCTCCCTCTTTCTCTCTGTCACACGCTCTCTCTCCACACCAGGGATGCCGTTTTTTCCGTTATTTTCCTTCCCCCCCCCCCCGTTATTTTGGGCATTGTCAGATTTGTGATGGATCTGAAAACAAAGCTGTTTTCATTACATCTAAATGAAGCCACCTCAAAAGGAAACAAAAAAACATGTGCTGAATGTGATAGCATGCTACTTCTAAATGAATTACAAAAAAGTGTGAGTAGATGGTTGGCGGGTGCTCAGGTGTGGTTTGCTTCATTCTTCTTTCCTATCGTCCTTATCTCCCCTTTTTCTTTTTTATGTTTGTTACTCTCTTGTAACACCTGTAGTCTTCTGGCGCTCTTATGACCTTATGCAGTTGCGAGCGCAGTAAAACTTCTACTAAAACTAAAACTATAAAAAGTGTGACTCATTTGTAAAGTGCCATAAAACTGACTATGGTAAGTGGTGAAACTGTTTTCAATGCTGTCATGGAGAAACTCACAGAAGATGAAGTTCCGTTGACAAAGTGTCCATCCTGACCATTTATTGCTTCGTCGCATGCTAAATCTAGTCTTGAAAAAATGTTCCGTAATTTTTTACAAAAGTCCAGTGGCGTCCCTGCCACACACACACACACACACACACACACACACACA